GTTGGAAAATTAAATAACCTACTAATTCCAGAAATTCCAGAATATTTTGATCATCCAGAAAGAAACCTCATAACCAACAGCAATTACTCTCCTTTCACTCCTCTCCCATCCCCTGAAAATCACTAATCTGCTTTCTGTCTATGAGGATTTGCCTATTCTTTTTTTTGAGACAGAGTCTCGCTCTCTCACCCAGGCTGGAGTGCATTGGCACAGTCTCGGCTCACTGCAACCCTCGCCTCCTGGGTTCAAGTGATTCTCCTGCCACAGCCTCCTGAGTAGCTGGAACTACAGGTGTGTGCCCCCACACCCGGCTAATTTTTGTATTTTTAGTAGAGATGGGGTTTCACTATGTTGGCCAGGCTGGTCTCGAACTCCTGACCTCGTGATCCGCCAGCCTCAGCCTCCTAAAGTGCTGGGATTACAGGCGTGAGCCACCGTGCCCAACCCCCAGTTTTTAGTATTATAGATAAGGCTGCTATGAAAATGCATAGACAGGTTTTTGCATTAATTTATGTTTTCATTTTTTTTTTTTAAGACAGGTTTGGCTCCGTTCCCCAGACTGGAGTGCAGTGGTGCGACCACAGCTTACTGTAGTCTTCACCTCTCAGGCTCAAGTGATTCTCCTACCTCAGCCTCCTGAGTAGCTGGGACCAGAGGTGTTGCAACACCACATTTGGCTTTTTTTTTTTTTTTTTTTTTTTGTAGAGACAGGTCTTGCTATGCTGCCCAGGCTGGTCTCGAACTCCTGGATTCAAGCGATCTGCCTGCCTCGGCCCCCCAAAGGGTTGTGATTACAGGCTTGAGCCCCTGTGCCCAGCCCCTATGTTTTCATTTCTTTTTTTTTTTTCTTTGAGACGGAGTCCTGCTCTGTCGCCCAGGCTGGAGTGCAATGGCGCCATCTCCCTCACCGCAACCTCCAGCTCCCAGGCTCAAGGGAGTCTCCTGCCTCAGCCTCCCAGGCAGCTGGGACTACAGGCGCCTGCCACCATGCCTGGCTAATGTTTGTATTTTTTAGTAGAGATGGGGTTTTACCATGTTAGTCAGGTTGATCACAAACTCCTGATCTCAGGTGATCCACCCGTCTCGGCCTCCCAAAGTGCTGTATTACAGGCGTGAGCCACCGCGCCTGGTGTTTTCATTTCTTTCTGATCTGCTTGGGAGTAGAATTGTAGGTAACATGGTAACTTCAGGGTTAACATTTGTAAGCATTGCCAAACTCTTCCACTGTGGCTGTGCCGTTTTACATCCCAATCAGCAGTGTTAGAGGGTTCCAATTTCTCCACCTCCTCCACAACACTGTCATTGTCTTTTTAATTATAGCCCCAAGTGGCATCTCATTGTGGTTTTCATTTGTATTTCTCTAATGACTTAACGATTGTATCTTTTCATGTGCTTATTGGCTGTTGGTATTTGAGAACTATTTTAATCCTTTGCCCATTGAAAAAAAAATGTTTTTGTCCTTTTGTTGTTGAATAGTAACACTTTTTCTTTTCTTTTTTTTTTCTTTTTTTTTTTTTTTTTTTTTTGACAGAGTGTCACTCTTATTACCCAGGCAAGATCTGGGCTCACTGCAATCTCCGCCTCCTGGGTTAAAGGGATTCTCCTGGCCTCAGCCTCCTGAGTAGCTGGGACTACAGACATGTGCCACCATGGCCAGCTAATTTTCATATTTCTAATAAAGGCGGGGTTTCACCATGTTGGCCAGAATAGTCTCGAACTGCTGGCCTCAAATGATCCGCCTGCCTCAGTCTCCTAAAGTGCTGGGATTACACTTATGGCCACTGCGCCCAGCCAAATAGTAACACTTCTTTATACATTCTGGATACTACACTCCTAGTAGCTTTATGGTTTGCAAATATTTTCTACCATTTTCTTGGCTGTCTTTTCACTTTCTTAATGTCCCTTGAAGCAAAAACTTTTATGTAACTGTGATGAAGTTCAGTTGATTATTTTTGATTGCTTTTGTTTTACGTGTCATATCTAAGAAACTGTTGCCTAATTCAAGGTTACGCAGATTTATATATACACACACATATATTTATACACGTATATATAAGTATACACGGAATATATATGTAAAATATACACATGCACAAATGTTATATATCACATTTATACATAGGTATATATGTGTATATATACGTATATAACGTATATATACATATATGACATGTATATATATGTTCTATAACAAGTAGTGACTTACAGTTTATTGATGTATTTTGAGTTAATTTTTGTACATGGTATGATGCAAGAGTTCTGATTAGTTTTTCTAGTCTCCTTTGTCTATTCTGTACAGAATAGTTTTATTGCAGGTTTAGTGTGCTTTAAGTACATAACCTTAAGTGTTTGGCTTGGGGATAAATGTAGACTTCGGGAAAATTGAATTTTTGGGACACCTATCAGGGTCTACTAGCATATCATAGTGGAGTTTAGCGGCAATGTCTCCTTCTCTATCTTCACTCCCCAGTTGTAGAATATGCTGAATCAGACCTATTATTAACTAGCATAAAATATGAGTGAGCCTAATGGCAGTTCTCTTTGGATTTTCTGTAAAGCCCAAGACACCCATTATGACTTCTCAGACTCCAAAGCGAATTTCCTAATGCAGTAGAACATACAGGAGATTATGAGGAAAGGCAGGCAGAGTTTGAAAAGAGAACATACCAGAAACAATGGAAGATAGGTCCAAGAAACTAGATAAGTGCAAGTTGAGAATTGAATATAGTTTTATTTCTTTTTAATAATACTTATATTTTAATTGTAAAAGTAATTTATAATCATTGCAAAAAGTACAAAACACTGTAAAAATTAAAAATGCAAAACAATCTCAACTTGTGACAGCCAAGAGAAACCTGAGGAAACATGATTACAGTGTTTGTGGCATGTAAGTTTGGTGTCTACAATGGAAAAAGGATATTTGGAAAAAAAAAGAGGAAATATAAGATACAGACATTAGTTAAAACAATGAGAATAAAAAATGAATACCCAATTTCTACTCCTAGAAGAAGTGGTACTGTAACATTTGGTGACGTTCTGAGAGCCAACATTTTTACCCTGCTTTTACTAGGACCTGTTCTAAATAGTATTTTAGCTCATTTAATTGTTAAGCCATTGTATAAAGTAAATAGAATCCCTTCTTTTGTTACAGATTAGGAATTTAATACACAGAGGGTTAAGTAACTTGCTCAAAGTAACATTGTTGTGGAGAGTCAAACCTGGAATTTGAATCAAAAGAGCATGAGTCCAAAGGCATGGTTTTTATCACTGAACTATAATGGTGTGTATTCTTTCATACTTTTTTCAGTGTACGAATAAACATACAGTATGCCTTTATTTTATTTATTTTTTTGAGACAGAGTCTTGCTCTGTCACCAGGCTGGACTGCAGTGGTGCGATCTCAGCTCACTGCAACCTCCGCCTCCTGGGCTCATGCAGTTCTCCTGCCTCAGCCTCCCGAGTAGCTACGACAACAGGCACGCACCATCACGCCCAGCTAATTTTTCTGTTTTTTTGTAGAGATGGGGTTTCACCATGTTGGCCAGGATGGTCTCGATCTCCTGACCTCGTGATCTGCCTGCCTTGGCCTCCCAAAGTGCTGTGATTACAGGTGTGAGCCACTGTGCCCAGCCTACATTTTATTTTTCGATTCACTCCCGTGATCCAGAGTCAACTTCCCATGTTATTTTATGTGAATATGTATCAATGAACTATTAGAAATTGCAGTGTTTTTGTAGGTCAAAAAAATTGAATATTGACAATTTTATATGGTTCAGCCTAATAGATCATTTTTACCATCAGCGATATTGCATGTTATTGTTTATATGTACGTTTATTTACTTAGCCTATCTGTTCTCTGTGAGGAACATTACACAGTTTCTGAGATTTTGTTATGATAAAAGTCAGCATTGATAAGCCTCTGTGCACCTGTTTTAATGTAGGATCATTGGGAACTGAGCAGTAGCTTACAGGGCTTGAGAGGGGATTTAACCATTTAGTTAACCTCCACTCCTATCACCCTTCTTTGATAATGGGCAATGGAGAAAGGGCAAATGTGTATAAAAACTATGCAGATACAGTTTCAGGATTATTTCCTTCTTATTCCCAACAGTGTCTTTTCCCAAGCTACATCAGTGTCTAAATTTTGGAGTTATGGATGCTTCCGTTATTTCTGCAGATAGAATATTATTAGGTCAAAAATAATGTTTACTTGTCCATTAGTATTATATAAAAGTGCCCGTTTCTCCCCACTCCAGCTATCATTGATTATTGGTAAAAATTTTAATGTATCCAAGTCTAATAGGCAAAGAAAGGCTCTCTTACTTAGATCTTAGGTGGGGAGTCTAAGTTCATATTTTTGTTTTACAAGAATTGAATAGCCAGTGTTTTTGAATTGAATGATCTATCCATTCTGTATAGGACAGTTTAATTATATTGTGATTTTGGGGAAGATATTTTTCACAATTTACCCCCCAAAATGTAGAAAGTAGAAAAAAGGAAGAAAGATGCCACCAAATTTGAACAATGTAGCGTGTTTTTAGAGTTAGGGAGTTTTTTTCTGGAAGGATTTCAAGTCTGGCATGTTTGTATTGATTGTGGTTATGGCGCATTTAACTTTTCCAAACCAGTTTTTCTGTACCGCACATAGGAAGACCTGAGGATGAGTGTAAATTAGGATTGTTTGGCCAGTAGTGTGTGCAAACATTTATTGTAGAACCAAGAATTATTTCTTTAGTATTTTACACATTAAAAAAAAAAAGCATGTCCATTGATCCCAGGTTGCTTATGGTTTCTAGAGGCTCCCCTCAATGCAACAGTGCTGTGGGGCCCTAGGGGTCCAGTAGCCCCCACCCCCCAGGTCATTGCGGTCAGGGAGGGCACTGGGACCCCTGCACTGCGGCAAACAAGCGCGCCTGCGCGGCCGCAGAGGCGGGCTGGTGCGCATGCTCAGGCGGGGATGTGTGCGAAGCCTGACGCTGCTGCAGCGAGTCTGGCGCAGAGTGGAGCGGCCGCCGGCGATGCCTGACGCATCGGTGTGAGCAGCGGTCAGTGACGCGATGGAGCGAGCAAGGTCAGCTGCGCCGGTGGCTTCTCTCAAGAGACAGCCTGGGGAGCAGCCACTTTTATTCATCAGATATTCCAAGTTTTCAGGACTTGGAGTACTCAATAAACTGGGCATTTGGGTCCTAAAGTCCTTTGTTCTGGAGAACCAGATCCGGAATGTTCAGAGGCTTGTGGCTGTGCCGTTCGCCCCGATGGTACCCTGTCCGCTCGCTTCGGGGCGCGTCCTCCATCCGCCCCCAGCTGTGGTGTCGCCACAGGTCCTATTGCGGGTGTCTGCGGTGGGAAGGGCGGTGGTGACGGGGAGCGTGTGGGGTAACCGCAGCCAGCGAGGGACATGGGCGGAGGTGGGTACATCGGAGTGACTGCAGTTCCGTGTGGCCAGGGTACGTGGGGGGACCGGTGCGTCGGGATTTGAGGCGGAGGTAGTTATACTGGAGTGATCGTGGCGGGGCGAAGGTACGTGGAGTGACGGGTATTTAGGGGGTGTCGAGCGCAGGTGGGTGTATTGAAGTGGCCACTGCGCGGTGGAGCAGGGTACGTGCGGTGACTGGGGGGATTCGTCGCAGTGACCGAGGCGAGGAGGCTGTGGCAGTGGACCAGGGGGATGAGTCGGTGCGACCCTGGTGGGGGTTGTGTGGGTGATGGCCGCGCGGGAAGGGTCTGTAGGAAGCGGCTGGGAGGTAGGAGGAAGGCGGCGGCGGTGGGCATTGGCGGCTTTGGTGGCAGTAGGCATGGCGGGGGTGGGCATGGCATGGCGGCGGTGGGCATGGCATGGCGGCGGTGGGCATGGCGGCCGCGGGGCCTCTTGCTGTCTGGAGTGACTAAGGGACGCTGAATGATCGCTGTGGCGGGGAGGGGGCATCAGAAGGAGGGGCAGTAGCACAGTCCGCAGCCTTTAATTTTCAAACTGTGACCTGCGGTGGTCATCTGGTTTGTCTGCTGTGGTGATGGTGCTTTTTTTATTAAAACTGCGCAACGCCTACACTGCCACAGGGGCTGCAGAAATGCGTGGAATCCTTGCCTGGTGTACCCTTTAGGAACCCTCGCTTTTGAGGCTATGGCATAAGAAGACAGGAATGAGGTGCAGAACTTGCATTTATAGATCTTTTGACGGATAGGCCAGGCGATGCCTGAGGGTTACCTTTTTTTTCCATTGTTTCTGTCTGGAACCAGGTCTCGGAAGGCTGTGTCGGCACAGCCTGGGGGTCTGTGTTGCGTCACTGCCATTGTGCGGCTCCTTCAAGATGGCCGCCGCTGCAGCGCCTTAGATGTGCGCAAGCGCCTCAGGGTGGGGGTGGCCGCTTCCTCTGCGTAGAGCCGCCAGTGGGGAGGGGGCGGCCGGTGTGTGTTTGCTCAGCTTCTGCTGTTTTGAAGTTTCAGCCGTACCCTCTTTAGGGTGCAGTGGTAAGGAGAGGAGGCGGGCTGAGGTGGGCGGCTGCCTCCTCCCCAAAGCGCTGCCTGGGGAAGGATGCAGGTTGCGCAGACGCAGCAGAGGTGACAGTCGCCTCCGTTTGCGATGGGGCGAGACGGGGAGCAGGGGAGTGGGGGCTTATGCAGCTTTTGCCTGGAAGGGATGGCAGCCCTCCCCTTCACCTGGCTGATACGGCAGCTGTTCCTTTCCGGTTGTGGCGCAGTAGAGGGGGGAGGAGGGAGATGGGTTGGCGCAGGCCCCCCTAGCAAGCTTGGCAGCCACCCCTTACCCACAGTGCGGCTGTAGAGGATTGGAGGGGAATGTGACTAGAGGCCAGGCATTTGTACCACCTCCGCCTGTGTGGGATGGCAGCTGCACTGGGCTGCTTTTCTGTTCTGCAGTAAACTGGGGTGGTGGGGGTCTGGAGGCCATCAAAGGGGCAGCCACCCCAAGACCTGCTGTGCTGCTTCAGGAAGCCTCCATTAATGATAGAGATTTTAAATTGGTTTTCTAACTCCCTAGAAAATCCTGCCTTTTCATTTTTGCAGTTCTTCTCTTGGTTGTGTTGTGTGCTAATTCTCTATTCGAAGTGGACTTGTTAATCCCTTTTTTAACTCCCTGTAGTCTTTGATTTCCACTCGACACATTTGATAAATGCCAAATTTACTCTATTTAAGATTCACTTATCCTTCTTAATCTCTGGATAGTCCATTCTGATGCACGGCATACTTCCCTTAAATGGGTTGGGGGAGAGGGTATCATGATGGCTCTTCCCAACCAAGGTTGTAAGGTATTTCAAACACTGGACCCCTTCATCTTCTGGGAGTTGAAAGCTGCAAGTTGTGTTTGCACAAAGAGAATAAAAGAGAAGCAGAAAAGTGGAGACGATCTTATTGGGGTGGGGTTGTACTTGGGATCAGAGTTAATGTCTTTTTTTTGAATTTTAAATTGATCATTTTTGAAGTTGGAGCTACAAAAATTTGGTGAGAAAGGTTAATGAATAACTGCATTTTTATATTCCAGTACTTTAAAAAAAATCATTTTATTCTAAGGATTTTGTCTTCCTTCGCAGGATTTTCAGTGCTTGCCTTTTTTGTATTTACATTTTCCCTCTATCATAACTGGTATGTCTGGTTGCACTGAGTTGTAAGTAACAGAAAAGTTACATCTACGAAGCCCGAAAAGCCTTGTTCTGGAATAATCTGTTTTTGGGTAGTTTTAAAAATAGCAGGAGTCTGGGATTTTATATGATACTTATAATTTACTTTTTTTTCTGCTTGCATGGAGATAGCACTTAACATACATATATTTCTTGGTTTAACTTCTGGTCATTTGGCTATTTGCAAGCCGAGTATTTAGTCTGGTCCGCCATTTTGTAGTCTTGCTTTCAGGCCCGGGATCCCAACATGGCAGCTCCCTTTGGCAAGGCCTCTTGAAGTTTCAAGGTCTGTGTCCTATTCTGTGAATTGGCTCTGTGCTAGGGCTTTTTGGAGGCGGGGAGTGGCAGCCCTTCTTGTGATGCAGAGGAAGGAAGCTTGGTTGAGAGACCCTTATATTGTTGTCTCAGGCAGTAGTAGCTGGTTTGGGTTTATTCACAGACCTTGCCTTATCTTAATTTCGCTATTCTGTCTGACCAGTGTGTCATTGCTGAAATGTTTTCCCCATTTATAGTTACTCTGTATCTTTATGTTTCCCTTACCTTGTTCTTTTTCCTAATAAACATTTTTGTTTTCCAAAAAATTTAGTTTATAAGGTGTCAAGGATATCAAGATAACCTCCTTTGCCACTGCCCTCTGTTACATAGCTGTTTTTATAAAGAATCCTTTAAGTAAGCAGGTTGTGAGTACTGCCCTCAGTGACTGGGACAATGAAGGTTTAAAAATCTTACTTCTTCCACGCGAAGACTTGTCGCTGGTCCTGTCCCTTTTTTTTTTTTTTTCTTTTTTGTGGCCCAGAGCCAGAAAGCTTGAGTGAGAATTGTTACTACCTAAGGCAGCCTCTCTCCGTTTCTGCATGCTAGCTGGCTCAGAGTTTTTTTGTTTTTGTTTTCTTTAATAGACCAGGGTCTCCCTATGTTGTCCAGGCTGGACTCGAGCAGCTAGACTCAAGCTATATCCTCTCCCTCCTCAGTCTCTCTGTGGCCACTGTGGCTGGCCCAAATTCTCTTGTTAATCCTCCCCAGGTTTTATTTTGGAGGCACTGAGGTTTCTTGTGTTTGTGGGATACAGATTAGCAGGCTATCATTAACCTTATTTTTTTGTTTTTAGGAGACAGGGTCTGTCTATGTTGCCCAGGTTGGAGTGCAATTATAGGTCCCTGTAACCTCAAACTCCTGGATCAATCTAGACTCCTGCCTCAGCCTCCAAAGTACCTGTTACTACAGGCTTGAGGCACTATGCCCAGCTAACTTTTTATTTTTTTGTGGAGAGGGATCTCCTTATATTGCCCAGACTGGTCTCGAACTCCTGAAATCAAGCAGTGCTCCTGCCTAGGCCTCCCAAAATGCTGGCATTGCAGCCATGAGCCGCGGTACCTGGCCAACTTTGTTTGTTTATTTTTATTCTTGACATCGTAAATTTTATGGAAAATTTAGGCCATAATAAAATTGGGATCCCATTGCTTTTTGCTTTTCAATGTATTTCCAGATTGTTACTTTCAGTGTAAGTGATTTGAGGACAAATATTTAACACCATTTATATGTGATGATTTTTTCGTGATATCCTCAGTTTCATAAAATGTTGGTTTCTGTGTTGGGGATGCAGTTAGATAAATGCATGTGTGTATGTATCTAGAACATTCAATAAAGCAGTGTTTTCAAAATAAACCTCGTAGATGACATTTTATATGTAGATTAAAAATAAGTAGATTTAAGCCTGGTGTGGTGACTCACGTCTATAATCCCAGCACTTTGGGAGGCCAAGGCGGGAGGATCGTTGGAGCCTGGGAGTTCAAGCTTGGGTAGTGAGAACTCGTCTCTACGTTTAAAAAAAGATAAATTTGGACTGGGTGTGGTGGCTCACACCTGTAATCCCAGCGCTTTGGGAGGCCAAGGCGGGCAGATCACGAGGTCAGGAGTTCAAGACCAGCCTGGCCAATATGGTAAAACCCCATCTCTAATAAAAATATAAAAATTAGCCAGGCATGGTGGCACACGCCTGTAGCCCCAGCTACTTGGGAGGCTGAGGCAGAGGAATTGCGTGAACCTGGGAGACAGAGGTTGCAGTGAGCCGAGATCATGCCACTGCACTCCACTCGAGGTGACAGGGCAAGACTCTGTCTCACACACACACACAAAAGGTAAATTCAGAAAGTTGAAGTAATAGGATAATAGAATATTTTGGTTTGATGGCTGTTTCCTCAATTGACCTCAGACCTTTCATATTGAGCAACTGCCGGTTTTTGTTTGTTTTTTGGTAAGACAGTGTTTGCAGTTGTATGCTATTAGATTAATCATGGTTTAGTTGATAGTTTAATTGTATTATATTAATGTACTACATTATTAGCTATATTTGGCCACCATAATGTAGCACTCATCAGTACTAAATTCCTTTTTATGGCTGAATGATATTCCTTTGGATATACCATATTTTCTTCATTCATAAGTTGATGGACATTTGAGTTGTTTCCACTCTTTGGCTATTATGAATAATGCTACTAGGAACATGTATAATATGTTTAATACAAAGAATTAGTTTCACAAAGTTTTACGTAGCCCTAGTATATGCCAGGTTCTTGAAATTTTGTCTTTTGTAAGTATGAGAGTGTAGTGGTAGCTGGGAAGGCTGCAGGTATAATCGAAAGAACATGAACTGGCCGGGCATAGTGGCTCATGCCTGTAATCCCAGCACTTTGGGAGGCTGAGGTGGGCAGATCACCTGAGGCCAGGAGATCGACATCAGCCTGGCCAACGTGGTAAACCCTGTCTCTACTATAAATACAAAAATTAGCTGGGTGTGGTGGTACATGCCTGTAATCCCAGCTGCTTTGGAGGCTGAGTTTGGGTCTTGTAATATTACTCCATGTAGCAGTGGAGTTAGTGTCATGTGTTACTTTCATGATTAACATTTTTAGGAAGTAGGCAAAGGCTATATATACCACTTTATGTTTCCACCAGCAGTTTCCCCACATCCTTCACAAATATTGTGGTGTCAGATGGTGGCATTTCAGTGGTTTTTTTTTTGTTTTGAGGCAGGGTCTGGCTCTGTCACCTAGGCTGGTGTGCCAGTGGCATGATCTCAGGTCACTGCCGCCTCTGCCTCCTAGGCTGAAGTACCTTCTCACCTCAGCCTCCTGAGTAGCTGGCTCCACAGGCATGCACCACCACACTCAGCTAATTTTTGTATTTTTTCATGCAGATGTTGCCCAGGCTTGTCTCCTGAGCTCAAGTGATCGTCTGGCCTCAGCCTTCCTTGAGCCATTGCGCCCTGCCTCATTGGGGTTTTGATTTGCATTTTTTTAGTGACTAATGTTCAGCATCATTTCATATAGATTAGTCATTTGTATGTTTGGAAGACTGTCTATTCAAGTGTTTTATCCATTGTAGCAGTAGAATTTGCCCTTTTATTGTTGAGTTGTATGTTGTTCCTTACATATTCCTGATACCAAACTTGAAAAAATACTTTTTTGAGGTGTGATTGACATACAAAAGCTGTGGATAGTTAATGTTAAAAGTTGGCATGCTAAGAGATAAGTACATGCCTTTGAAATCATTGTCTTATCAAAATTAGTGGCATAAATGTATCTATCACCTGAAAAAGTTTTCCTTTGCCTCTCCCTACCATCTTTTTTTTCATTGTTTGAATTTTCTTTTTGTTTGTTTTGGATACTAGAAACAGCTGTATGTTTAGCAAATATTTTTTCCTATTCTGGTTATCCTTTCACTTTCTTTAGTGTTTTCGGAACTTTATTTTTTTGATGAAGTCCTCTTTACTTCTTATACTGCTTGTAATTCAGGTGTTATATTTAATAGACCATTGTGTAATCAAAAGTAATAAACATTATCAGTGTATAAAAGTTTACCATTTAGAAATCAAATCTGTGTGTATGGCTTGATTAGAACATTTAAACTCTCGAAGGAATAAAACAGCTGTGTGTTATTGGTAAGCTATTTTACCAATCTAAAAGTCTAACATGACTTAACATCAGGGTTCAGAGAATTATTAATAGCTTTTGGCATTTATCTTTTGAATTTTGCTTTTGAGTTGTTACTTGTGTTACTTTGCTGACTTTTCTGATTTATCATCTTTAAGTGTTCATAGGTGGTTTCTGCAGTCCTTAATATGGCTAGTCTGAGTGTTTCTGTTTCTGATTTCATGTTCTGTTCCCTTGAGCAGCCATTTTGTGAGGGGTTCTGCAGACATAACATGGCGGGGGTTTTTTTTGTTTGTTTTTGCTATGTGGATAGTTTTTAGCCTGGGCAAGTCTTCTGTTGCTTTGCAAATCCTAAAGAAAGCGCTATTTGCATGTTTTTTTTTAAGTAGATATTTTATAATTTAAACTATGTTCTATTCTACTCTACAAAAGTATGTCTATTGTATCCTAAAAATATTTTTGAAACCATTTTTGAAATGAGGTTTACAGCTTTTGGAGGGAAGGTAAGTAGGGCAGTGGTGTAATGTGTGTATATATCTCTGCATAAGTGGGAATATTATATGTACATGACTACAAATAGAGGTAGATACATTATTTTAATTTCCTGATTTTTTTAAAACCAGGTTTTCTGATGTCATGGGCTTCTAAAAGGAGAAAAGAAGTGGTTATATCATAGATTCTGACTGTTTGAAGGTTAAAGATCTTGTAATAATGTTAACTTGTTTTAATTAGATTTAAAAATCCATTATATTAAATGTAGTTCTAAATATAACCTTGACAAATAGTTATTTCATAGATTGATGCAGTCTACCAAACAAATCCCTCTCTTTTCTGTTTCAGGGATCGCTTACACCTGAGACGAACTACAGAACAGCACGTACCAGAGGTGGAAGTCCAAGTCAAACGCAGAAGGACTGCCTCACTGAGCAACCAAGAGTGAGTACAAATGCAAGTCAGAATCCCATTTCAGATTAGAACAAAATAGCATGCAATAAGGGAATTAAAATGAACATAATTGAAGAAGCAGACACATATAATACAGAACATGTAGTAAAAAAGCAATGAAATTCTTAACCATATTGTCCTAAAATAATTCACACTCTTAAAGATTTTAGTATAATTTTCTTTTTTCCTATACATGTGTAAGTGCATTTATCTTTATACAATTTTGTAATTACCCTTCAACATAAGTATATTTAAATTTTTCTGCATTCTTATATTATTAAATCACTTTGTATGTTTGCAAAATGTGTACTGTGCACTGAAGTGATTAATTTACATATTCATTCTTGCTCTGTGATACTTAGGTGTTTGTTTTTGGTTAGTGCATTTATTCTGTTAAAATTTAAAATATATTTGTGTTTTTTATCCTGTTTTTAGTATGTATGTGTGGAATGTATATATAGGATGTATACACAGACACACTCAGACACATTTTAATTTAGATTTCTAGAAGGGAAATTTTAATTAAAAATATGTGAACATTTTAAATGACCTAATACATGTTTAGTCCACATTGAAACTTTGGCATTTAGTCATTGCCATTAAAATTTTGACAGTCAGTAGATAGCATTTTTTTTCTTAGCTACAATTGTTTTATTTTCTTAATTATAAGTATTAATAATTAATGAAGATGATTCTTTTTGTAAAACAGTTTTGCATAAAAAGTCTCATTTTAAAGCAACTACGAATTTACTGCCCTTTTCCTCCCCAAAGATAATCCTTAAGTAAGTAGTCATCTGTCCTTTCAGACCTTGTCCTAGGCATTGTGTGTATAGTGGAGAGAGAGGAAGGGAGGACATGGGACACATTTGAAGTTTGTGTGCATGCGACACCATGCTGTATGTATTTTGACAATATGTCTTGGTGATCTTTTCATATCAGTACACATAAATCTACTTTATTTTACAAAGTGTGGGTGGGGTGATAACATTATTATTTTAATCATTAGCTTGCTGCTGGATATTTAGTTTGTTTGCATTGTTTGACTATTAACAATCGAAAGAACAATCACTTTGAAAACGCAGTGTAGTCCAGGCGTGGGCCCAGCACTTTGGGAGGCCAAGCCAGGCAGATCACAAGGTCAGGAGTTTGGGACCAGCCTGGCCAACATGGTGAAATCCCATCTCTCCTAAAAATACAAAAATTTGCCGAGTGTGGTGGCACGTGCCTGTAATCCCAGCTACTTGGGAGGCTGAGGCAGGAGAATTGTATGAGTCCAGGAGGCGGAGGTTGCAGTGAGCCAAAATGGCGCCACTGCGCTCTAGCCTGGGTGACAGAGCCAGACTCAGGGAAAAAAAGAAGAAAGAAAATGCAGTGTATGAATACTCATTTATTTTTTTTTCAAATTAAAGATTTTTCCTCATAGTAAAAACTGGGTAGTAGTATGTGTGTCTTTTATTTCTTCATTTTATATGTGAAAAGTTGAGCTGGATGTGGTGACTCATGCCTCTAATCCCAGCATGTTGGGAGGCTGAGGTGGGCCACCTGAACCCAGCAGGTAGAGGCCAGCCTGGGCAACATAGGGAGACCTCCTCTCTACAGAAAAATAAATTAGCCAGGCATGGTGATGTCTACCTGTAGTCTCAGCTACCTGGGAGGCTGAGGTGGAAGGGTCACTTGATCCTAGGAGGTTGAGGCTGCAGTGAGCCATGTTTGTGCCACTGCACTCCAATGGGTGATAGTATGAGATCATGTCTCAAAAAGAAAAAAAAGTTGTAAAACATCTGTTAGCAAGTTTTAAATTACGGTGAGGGTAAAGATTTTTTTATTTTTTCTGATTTATTTTGATGTTTTTTATTTTTGTGAGTATATACTTTTCATTTTTAAAATTGCTTTGGAAGACATTTTGTGTATGTTTTGTTTGTATATTGATAAATATTTTGTAAGTATTTTGTGTAGTATAATTTGTCCTTTATAATAGGTTATTCGATCATTCATTTTATTGGATATGGTAATCTCTTTTTTCCTCTTTTCATTCCTTTTTTTTTGAGACAGAGTTTTACTCTCATTGCCCAGGATGGAGTGCAACCTCTGCCTCCCGGGTTCAAGTGATTCTCCTGCCTCAGCCTCCCAAGTAGCTGGGATTACAGATGTGTGCCACCACTCCTGGCTAATTTTGTATTTTTTAGTAGAGGTGGGGTTTCTCCATGTTGGTCAGGCTGGGTTCGAACTCCCGACCTCAGATGATCCACCTGCCTTGGTCTCCCAAAGTGCTCGGATTACAGGCGTGAGCCACTGCGCCCAGCTTCTCTCTTCATTATTTTGTAACTCTGACATTTTTTTTGAAGTGCCGTTACTACTCCCTGAGTTTCTAGAGGTAGTTCAGAGATTGTGGTAGAGGTAGGGCTGAGGGTTAGGACTCTTAGTTTTAGGACTGTTAAGTGGGTGAAGGTTCTAGCTTGCTATATTTTTGTGGTAGTTTTTTTCCTATATAGCCTCAGTGTGGACTCAATAACAGGTATTCTTATCCTCATCTTGTTGTGGGATGAGGTAAGCCTTCTAGGCATCTTGTCCATATTTATGGAAACATTTTGATGGTTTTGAAGAAGAAATAACTTGACTTTTTCTGATCTGCACTGCATACATATGTACAAATACTGCAGGGTCTTGAGGGGGACCTGCAGGGGGAATAATCTGAGGAAAGTGTAGAGTTAGGGAAATAGTATAATTTTTCCAGTTGTGCCTTTTTATTTTGAGAGTAATTGGATTATGGAATGGGTAAGCAGGATTGATTAGCACTGCCTCATTATCCATGTGTTTAGGGTTCTCAGGATTGGTATACTTAGATTATTACACTAGAAGTGTTCAGTATTTACCCATTCCTCTCCTCCGTCCTCCCAAACCATAAGTAGTATTGGGAGGCAGTGTTCCTGGAGGAGTTGTGTGGTTATTAGCATTAAAGATCAATGAAAGAGGCTGGGCATGGTGGCTCACGCCTGTATTCCCAGTACTTGAGGAGGCCAAGGTGGGCGGATCACCTGAGGTCAGGAGTTCAAGACCAGCCTCACCAACATGGTGAAACCTCATCTCCAGAAAAATACAAAAATCAGCCGTATGTGGTGGCATGCACCTGTAATCCCAGCTACTCAGGAGGCTGAGGTGGAAGAATCGCTTGAACCCGGGAGGCAAAGGTTGCAGTGAGCTGAGATCGTGCCGTTGGCTGTGCCTGGGTGACAGAGTGAGACTCCATCTCAAAAAAAATAAATAAATAAAAAGTTCACTGATTTATTTTAAGTTTCTTATTTATTCTGTCTCTGTATGTGTCACTAAATCAGTTCTTATTCTTTGGGGCTGGATGATGCATTGTGAGTTCGAAGGGAAATTAGAAATTGGAGCTGGAGGACTGTCTTAATCTATTTTATGCAAAGCTTCAAATGTCTTTTCAAATTAATATTCTGCAGTTTATGAATTAAATACTGTATAGGCTGCCTCATATTTTCTCAGTCTTTAGTCTTCTGTTGGGTTACAGGTTAAATCTGAGGGGGACACTGCAATAGAGAATTCTCTTAAGTTTCAAGATAACAGATTTTTTTTGACTGAAACACTTTTAGACCTTTATTAAATCAGAGACTTATTTGTCATTTGTGAACAAAGAGGTTAGAATGGAGAATGCCCAAATTAAGATTTATTCAGTAATTAGACTATGAATTAGAGTATAAAGTAGACTATGAATTAGAGTGTGAAGATTTAAAGGTATGTGCAGTGTAATTCTGACTACCTGGAGTTAGTGCAAATTTCACAATTGTGCAGATGCCTTCCAGAACATTCTCCTCAATGCAGACACCAAGTCCAAGCTCCAGGTTTGGCAGGTCACCCACACTTCTGACTAACTGTCTATAGATTCTGAGGTCCTACTATTTTCTCAGATTTTATAATTGACTAAGGTTTTTTAAATGACTAGTAGAACTCAAGAAAGTGCTATACATATTAGTTTTATTATAAAGGATACAAATGACCAGATGCATAGAGCAAAATCCCGGCAGGTCCCACACAAAGCTTCCCTGTCCTCAGGATGCATTATCTGCCCACTAGTGTATATCACCAACCAGGAAGCTCACCAGAACTCCTGATGTCCAGGACTTTTGTTGGGCATTCATTATGTTGACAAGATTGAATCACTGGACGTGTCGTTGAATTCAGTCAGCAACTCTCCTGCCCTCCGAGGAGGGCTTGCTCAAAGCCCCAACCCTTTAATCTTTGTTTGATCTTTTGTGGCCTGGTTAGTCACCATCTTGAGACATCTCATTACCATGAACTCAGGTGTGATCCTAGGGACGCACCTGGAATAACAAGCACATTTCTTTCACTTGGTAAATTCCCAGGATGTATAGGTTATTTCCCAGGAACCAGGAGCAAAGACCAGCTAAATTCTGTATTATACAGAAACATGTTTAAAATGTGACTGAAAAACTATAGAAAAAAGTCCAATTTCCAAATCCTTACCTACCAACAAGGGCAGCATTGTTGGTGATTCTCCACCTCCTCACCTGAAGGCAAGCTAACTGTCATTTCCTGTATCTCTTCCTTCTTATGATCAGATTTCACAGCCAGGTTACCCATTCATAGGGGTATGTTGAGGGCTTTTCTCTGGAATTCCCTGCTTACCAGTAGATGATGGGTTTACGTATTTTAAGAGCCCTTAAATAGCCCTGGAAGTTTTATATTTCGGGTAGTGATTTGTCAGGAGGATCAGTATGAAGGACAGCCTGAACATCTCCCTGCAAATGCTTTAGCAGCATATCCCTCCTCACCCCGGGGAGAAAGGATTGTTCATATAGGATAATTTGAAAGTTAGTGACTATATATGGTACTGATGGTGTTTCTTCAGGGCTACCAGCTCTTGTGTTTTTAGTTCTTTTGGAAATATTTCTAGACTTGGTAAGTATCTAAGTATCCACTAATCCCCTTGCACAATCTCTGTGTAGAGATTCCTGTTTTGTTTTATAATTTCTCATAAGATAGTGTCATGCTCTGACCCTAAGGAAAGGTCTTGCCTTGGTGTGGTGGCTCATGCATGTAATCCCAGCACTTTGGGAGACTAAGGTGGGTGGATCACCTGAGGTCAGGAGTTGGAGACCAGCCTGGCCAACACGGTGAAACCTCATCTCTACTAAAAATACAAAAAAATTAGCCAGGTGTGGTGGCGGGCACCTGTAGTCCCAGCTACTTGGGAGGCTGAGGCAGGAGAATGGCATGATTCTGTGAGGCGGAGCTTGCAGTTAGCCCAGATTGCGCCACTGCACTCCAGTCTGGGTGACAGAGCGAGACTCTGTCTCCAATTAAAAAAAAAAAAAAAAAAAAAAACCGGGTGTGGTGGCGGGCACCTGTAATCCTAGCTATTTGGGAGGCTGAGACAGGAGAATCACTTGAACCCAGAAGGCGGGGTTTACAGTGAGCCAAAGTTACATCATTGTACTCCAGCCTGGGCAACAGAACGAGACCCTGTCTCAAAAAAAAAAAAAAAAAAAAAAAAAAAGGACTATCTTCTTAAATGTAAGGGTCCCTAGTTTTCTTTCACATGGTTTCTTACAAAGACAAATGTCCTTCTATCATTTATATATATTGTGCTCTTGTTGTAGGTGTCAGTTGTACCCGAGGCGTTCCCAGCAGCAGCAAGTACCTGTGGTGGATTTCCAGGCTGAACTGAGGCAGGCATTCTTAGCTGAGACACCAAGAGGTGGTTAAAGCCATATTGGAATAGCGAAGAATCTGATTCCAAGCAAAAACCAGGTAAGAACTAATGCAGCAATGATCAAGAATAAAGAATCATTAAAGAATGGGTGTTGGGGGTTCTCTTAGTTATCAGTCACACATTACTTTTTTTCCTTAGAGCTTCATACAATAAGCACATTGCAGAAAGTTTTAAAAAGTAAAAGCAGGACCTTAAATTTTCTGCCCTGACACTTTTGTCATGTTTCTGTATTCCAGTTATTGTACTACATGTTTTTCAGGTAGTTTTCTTTTGTGTTTTCTTTTTTAATGATATAAAAATATTTCACTATAAATGGCTCTGGAATACCCTGTTACTGAATGTTTTATAATTTCTTTTTGTGGGAGGTGTCATTTTTTTCTGCCAGTAGTTTGAACAAAGCTTTAGTAGATAGCTTTGTATAAAAGTTAAGGTAGAATAATCTTTTCAGATACGCAGATGTAAAAATAAATTGAATCAAGGAATATGAACTTAAGGTACATTTTTCTAAATTTATTGCAAAGTATTATATTAGTATTCATTGCTTTCAAAAAATAAAAGGCCAGTTACAACATACTTTCACAGCATTATTTTAGTTCGAAGTTAATGTCTAGTGAATTATAAATATACAACACATAATTAACAATGAGTATTAGAGAACCTAAATACTTTCTCATGCTTATTTACTAATTCTTTTTGTTTTGTCTTTTTCTCACTTTTCTGTTTTAACCAATGTATTTCCTATTTGAATCAGCAATGTAATAAAAATATGATAAATTTTCAACGTGATATAGATTTATTTGGTTTCTTTTTATGTTGTTGCTTTCATTTTTTAGGAAAAAGCTATTACAAAGTTGATTTTGATTTATTTTCTTGTTTTTCCTTTGTGATTTTTCTTTTTTTCTACTTTAAGTTTAGAATGCCCTTATTTCTGAGAGTTTACTGTTTACTTTTTACAAAGTAAGAGCAGGGAGGAATTGGGTTTACTGATAAATTTCTTCTAGCCTTTTTTTAAAGTCTGTTTTTGAAATATTATTCTTCAACTTGAATCAGTGAGGCTTGTTTATGGCCACCATTTTGAGTTACTTATTTATTTAGAGATGAAGTCTCACTCTGTCGCCCAGGCTGCAGTGCAGTGGTGTAGTTTCGGCTCATTGCAACCTCTACCTCCCAGGTTCAAGTGATTTTTCTGCCTCAGCCTCCGAGTAGCTGGGATTACAGGCACCCCCAACCGCACCTGGCTAACTTTTGTATTTTTAGTAGAGACGGAGTTTTACCATGTTCTTCAGGCTGGTCTCAAACTGCTGAGCTCAGGTGATCCACCCGCCTTGGCCTCTCAAAGTGCCGGGATTACAGGTGTGACCCACTGTGCCTGGCCAATTTTGAGTTTAAATCAAAGGAGACAGAAATTTTCTGAGAAATCCTCCTTTCTTGAATCCTTGAATCCTTTATACTCAACATTTTCTAGTAATCGCATAAGCAGATTGGAATCTGATCATTGTCCCAAGCTGTTCCCTAGAGTAAGGAAATTTTTCATTGAATAGGTGTGCACAACTGATTTTTTTCTTTTTAGGAATTTTTCAGCTCAGTTCAGTTCACAGATTTTTGTAAATTTTTAAATACAACATTTAAGTCAGACATTATATTCTGCAAGTAGGACCATCTAATTTTATGGTATTTATTTATATCTTATTCTAGTCTCAACTGCTAGTTCTACCTAGATATTTACCCGTTACTAGTATTCCTGTAGAACACAGGTTGGTAATATAGCTGGACCACTACCTGTGTCTATAAATGAAATTTTATTGGAACACAGCTAAGTTCATTTATTATGTTACCCTTGGCCACATTGGTGCAGCTTTGAGTAGTTGTGGCAGACTGAAGGACAGGCAAAGCGTAAAATACTTAGTATCTTGCTATTTAAAAGAAAAAAATTGGCTGAGTTTTGTTTTCGAGGAGCAGATTCAAAGAAGAAAACACCAAAGTGGGGGCCAGTGAATATAGTCATAATGTCATAGAAGGTGATGAAGAATGGATTATAGAAGTATGTATGAAGTATACATTACAGGGTAGACAATCAGATGAATTTCTTGGGGAAGGGATCAGTCTAAGTCATGTTAAAGCCTGCTGTGGAGGAAGATGGGTAATCTTAATGACATTTAAACACTTGGTACCCTTTTGCATTAAAAATGTAAGGCACATTATGACCAGGAAAAATAGGAAAATAAACTATTATGTGGCTGGGTGTGGTGGCTCACGCCTGTAATCCTAGCACTTTGGGAGGCCGAGGCAGGTGGATCACCTGAGGTCAGGAGTTTGAGACCAACCTGGCCAACATGGCGAAACCCTGTCTGTACTAAAAATGCAAATGTTAGCCGGGTATAGTGGCAGACACCTGTAATCCCAGCTACTCGGGAGGCTCAGGCAGGAGAATTGCTTGAACCCTGGGGACAGAGGTTGCAGTGAGCAGAGATTGTGCCATTGTGCTCCAGCCTGGACAACAGAGCAAGACTTCTATCTCAAAAAACAAAAACAAAAACATTGTGTTATGAATGTTCTATTTTTGTTTGGTACCTAAATATTTACTAGGGTACATATCCAATTGGATACTTACCTAGTAGTTGGGATGCAGGGTGTACTGTTAGTATGACTTTTAAACGTTTTTGTTACATTGTTTTCTAAACACATCATGAGAAGTATTGATTGCCACTAAAAATTAGTAGACCATTAGTTTCTCAGTAAACCCTTTGTATTCTGGTGTTCTTCTGTTTTTGTTAAACCTTTCCAATAAAGGAAATTTGTTTTCTTGTGTTTTTAATTGGAATTATTGCATATTAATATTTTGTATTTAGTTTTCTTTTGTCACTTGTTTTTGCATACTCTTCGGTGGAGGATCTCTACGGAGACCCTCTATAATTTTAAATTTTAACAGATGAATATCGATACTCTGTGGTGTGTCTCATTTGCTATATGTACCTTGGCCAACCCTAGTCATCTTAGTTTACTTTTTGCTATATGTGCTTTGGCCAACCCTAGTCATCTTATTTTACTTTTGAATTAAAGTAGATTTACATTTTTATGCAGTTTAATCATTTGAATGTCTACAGTTTCCTAAAGTTTGAGAACTTGTGCTTCCGTGAGGGATACCAGTTGGTTTATTTGCTTATGTGTCCTTTGATCTCCGAAGATACACTATGACTGCTGATCCATCCTTGCAGTGTGATGTTGCTACTGTTGTCTCCTTTCTCTTGAAGTTTTGTTCTCTTGTGCTGTAAAGATAAATTTGACCACCCAGCAGATATATTTTGTTTCCCTTACAAGGTCATGACTACATTGTATCACATTTAGGGATGAGAGAGAACTGTTTGTAAATTTCAAATCTGTCTCCTAAAGGAATCCTTTTAACTGCTGTAGGAGGTCAACTCCTGTTGTGAGTGAAACATGTATCTCTTCTATCTATACAGGTTATTATTTTATTATATTGTTTATGATATATATATACACACATATATATGCAAAATATATATAATATATAAAATATATATATATATTTAAAATAATCAATCCCTAAATCTCTAGGTCTTCAGTTCTTTGGGCCATAACTCACATCCCTAGATGTCTTTCATACATATGGACCGCTAAGCTTGTGGGAGTTATTTATATCCTATTGCTCAAGGTCATCGCCAAGGTCTGATTTTTCACAAAAAAATTCCAACCTCTGGCATAAATGGGTTAAAAACAGCCTTAGTGATGTAGAGCTGATAAACATAAAATCCACCCAATTCAAATGCATGAAACAATGATTTAAGTAAATTTATAGAACTGTGCAATCATTGACATGAACTACTCAGGAAACATTTTCATCAGCACAGTAAGATCTGTCATGCTCATTCACAGTCATGATCCTCGTCGTCTCTTTGGATGGCTGAAGGTCCCAAGTGTTGCAATGCTATAAAAATGGATATTGCTGGCTGGGTGTGGTGGCTCACTGTAATCCCAGGACTTTGGGAGGCTGAGGCTGGCAGATCACCTGAGGTCAGGAGTTCGAGACTAGCCTGGCCAACATGGCGAAACCTCATCTCTATTAAAAATACAAAAGTTACCCGGGCATGGTGGCAGGTGCCTGTATTCCCAGCTACTCAGGAGGCTGAGGCAGGAGAACCACTTGAACCCGGGAAGTGGAGGCTGCAGTGAGCCGAGATTGTGCCATGACACTCCTGCCTGGGTGACAGCACGAGACTCCATCTCAAAACAAACAAACAAAAAAAAGGATATTGCTGTTGAGTCTCACATACCATGTTTTCTTGGATTTAGACTGCTTTATAAAGAATCATAATATTCAAAACTTCTGTTTATGGGCCTTAAACTCTCTTACTCGTTATGTATAGGTCAGAAACTACATTTAATTTTTGTGGGGGTCTTTGCTTATTTGAAAAGTTCTTTTAAGATCGTTATAAGTTTTATTTAATACTTTTTAAAATGTACAGACATCAGATTCATGGCCACTGAATGACAGCCAGGCATTAGAGTATTCCTTTTTTTCGAGATGGAGTTTCACTCTTGCTGCCCAGACTGGAATGCAGTGGTGTGATCTCGGCTCAAAGGAATACTTTTGAATCCTTTCAAAAGTAGTTTGTGTTCCATTTTTAAATTAGTATGATAAGCACTTTGAGACCTTTTACAATTCGGGCTAGATTTGGCTGCCATATTTAATAGCATTTTTTTAATTATGGAGAAAAGGGAAACAGTATGCATGTTTGATTACGGTCATGAGCTGCATAACAATTCCAGTCACCAACAGACTGCATGTGTGATGGCAGTCCCTTAAGATTACAAAACCAAGTTTTTATTGTACCTTTTATCTTTTTTTCCCCACTGAGATGGAGTCTTGCTCTGTTGCCCAGGCTGGAGTGCGGTGGCACCATCTCAGCTCACTGCAAACTCTGCCTCCTGGGTTCAAATGATTCTCCTGCCTCAGCCACCTGAGTAGCTGGGATTACAGGCACCCGCCACCACACCCAGCTAATTTTTGTATTTTTAGTAGAGACACCATGTTGGCCAGGCTGGTCTTGAATTCCTGACCTCAGGTGATCCGCCCACCTTGGTCTCCCAAAGTGTTGGGATTACCGGCGTGAGCCCCCACACCCAGCCTCTTCTCTGTTTAACATTGTATTGTGAGTGTTCATGGTATTCAGGATAGTAACATGATGTACAGGTTTGTAGTGTAGGATCTACCATATAGCCTAAGAGTATAGTAGACTCTCTGTGTATCCTCTAGGTTTGTGTAAGTACATTGTTCATACCATGTTAAAATCACCCAGCGCATTTCTCCTCATGTATCCCCATTGTTACATGACTGACTTATTTATTTTGAGATGGAGTTTTGCTCTTGTTGCCCCCTCTTGTTGCCCAGGCTGGAATGCAGTGGCACGATCTCGGCCCACTGCCACCTCTGCCCCCCAGGTTCAAGAGATTCTCCTACCTCAGGCTCTTGAGTGGCTGGGATTACAGGCGCCCACCACCATGCCTGGCTAATTTTTTGTGTTTTTAGCAGAGATGGGGTTTCACCATGTTGGCCAGGCTGGTCTCGAACTCTTGACCTCAGGTGATTCACCCGCCTTGGCCTCCCAGAGTGCTGGGATTACAGGCATGAGCTACCGAACCCAGTCGTTAACGTGATTTATAACTTTGTCCTTCATTACATGATGTATGAAAGTTGTTTATGTGAGTCTATATATATATATATTCCATAGTTGTGTATCCTCTTTTGACATGGGAAGTCTTAGGCAGGTTTATAACACATTTGGCTCTTAGTGGGGAAAGATTACTTGCCATCATCTTGAAGTGAATTTAGGGGAAGAAAGAATGTTGCAAATGACAACGTAAGATATTTCTCAGAAAAGAGGAAAAATCTGAATGAAAGAGTAATTGAGATGTTGATACAGAGATGACTTGATATGAATTCTGAACTAGAGACACACTACCTTAAATGAGGATGGAAAGAAAAATACTAAATTTTGGAAAATGAAGCTTAGTTTTTGAAACATGTAGGAATTACTAGGTAAAATAAAATTCAATGAGTTTCATCAGTCCTAAGTGTGTCAAATGTGACAGTTAAGAATGGGACTAGTGAAATTTGGCAGTTACTTGGTGAGGAAGCTAGTATGAGAGGAAGGATGTTTTTGAATATGTTTGTCATAGTGATTTTCATGCCTGTTTTAAAATATGGTAGATTGCAGTGCAGCTTTAACATGCTTTTCTCTGCAGGCTCCGTCTACTCTTTGAAGCTTCTGCCCAGCTTGCATTGTTTCTAGGAGAACCTGCGTCCTACCTTTATCTATAGCCTTCCCCTAGGTCTTCAGAAGCACCAAGTTTTAACTGTGGACATTGGATTTGGTGGAACAGCAATCATGGTAAGTTGTACAATAAGGCTGAGGGTTGAAAATGTGATGTAAGGGCTGAAAGAAAGAATTTGCCAGCATGGGCAGTGATTTTGGGTTCTGAATGTTAGTATACATCCATGGATATAGATTCTCATTGCACTGAGTATCAGCTGGAGATGAGCTGATTTTTTAAATTTTTTTCAGACCGAGTCTTGCTCTGTCTCCCAGGCTCACTACAACCCTGGGTCCAAGAGATTCTTGTGCCTCAGCCTCTTTATTAGAGACAGGGTTTCACCGTGTTGGCCAGGCTGGTCTCAAACTCCTGACCTCAAGTGATCCACCCACCTCGGCCTCGCAAAGTGCTGGGATTACAGGCGTGAGCCACTGTACCTGGCCGTGAGAAATGTTTTATGATGTGAGAAAATACAGGAGTATTTGGTCATGATTCCACCAGTGGTGAAGGACTGTCCTGCAGATGATGGACTCTCAGGTCAGATTACAATAGAAATAAAGAGGACTTTGAAAATGGAAGGGTTTTGGCATTAATAGTACAGAGAAAAGCAGTCTGGAGAGGGAGAACACCCTAATCATTGTGGTTTGGTTTAGTTAGGGGAGTGGACAGTTTACAGCATGCATTGTCTAAGAGAAGAATAATCACCCCTAAGGAGGTGAAAATTGGTTCTTGAGATGTGAAAAAATACTTCATAATCCTTTGTGGTCCTCCAGAGACCCATATTAAATATGGAAGAATGTTGGTGAAAAAGTAGGAGAAAATATTTGTTTAGTTAAGGAAACCAGGGTTGGATTATATAAGGGCGGAGAAGAAGCAGAAGATTATAAGATTAGGGTGTTGGCAACCTGAACATGACTCTTGTCTTACTGCTTCCAGACTGTGGGCAAGAGTAGCAAGATGCTGCAGCACATTGACTATAGAATGAGATGTATCCTACAAGATGGCCGAATCTTCATTGGCACCTTTAAGGCTTTTGACAAGCATATGAATTTGATCCTCTGTGATTGTGATGAGTTCAGAAAGATCAAGTAAGGCTGATTTGGGTAAATGGGGGTTGGACGCAGAGGCAGTGGGAAGGGAAGGCCAGAGCTGGAGTAAGGGATTTCCAAGGGTAACTGAGGTAGGTAGGGAAGCTAAGGTAGAGCCAGTCTATTGTTTCACCTCTTGACCTGATCTCTGAATTAGGTCAGAGTCTGCATATAAACTCTTAAGTTTGTGAGACAATCATGGATTTATTACTGGGAATAAAAGTGTATGTTGTGCTCAAAATATTAAGTTATATTTATTTTTAAAATTGAGAAAAATGCTATTGTTAATTAATTGGTTGGCTTCTGCAGCAGTCTTAGACCGAATAAATCTGGGTTGAAATAGAGAATAATAATTGCTCTTCATGGTTGAGGAGTTGGGATATGGTTGCTATTTGTTATCCTCTCTTTGCCTATTACTGTTCGCATTATTTCAGTTGTGTCACCCTGTCATTATGATTTAATTATTTAAGTAATGTTTTAAAGAAATTTCCATTTGAATATGGAAACCGAAGTTTCAACTTTGTTTTCCTTAAAAGGCATTTTACAAAAGAAATTAGTCTTGTTGTAGTGTTAACATCAAAGGAACATTCTGTAAAAGACTAAAGTTAGATCAGGAAACAGCTTTACTATTTCCCCTTTTATATTAACTGTTTACAGATTTTTTTTGGTTTGTTTTTCAGTGATAACTTAATATCTGTTTAGCATCGGTTGCCTTAATTGATACTTGAGGTTGTATAAATATTTTGATGAGTGAGTGATCTAGGGGTCACTAAAATTTATCTCACTAAAATTTAATTCTGATTTGTAGGCCAAAGAATGCGAAGCAACCAGAGCGTGAAGAAAAGCGGGTTTTGGGTCTGGTGTTGCTGCGTGGGGAGAACTTGGTATCCATGACTGTGGAGGGGCCACCCCCCAAAGATGTAAGGAAGATGTAGGGCAGGACAGAACTTTAATTTGCAAGGACATCATATTATGTGAGATGTCTGAAATCACGGTACAGCACAGACACAGTTTAACATGGATTGTCAAATAACATGTGCCAAGCACTTAGTATCAATTGTTGGTTGCCTATGCTATTTGGGATAAGGGTTTTTTGGTGAATTCTGTGTGCTGGGCATTACCTAGGTGAGGGTAGGAGTTGCTGATTCATGTTTGCTTGGTATGTTTATAAAAGAGCTGTTTTCACAATTTGACAAATAATGCGCATTTTATCCACAAGATACCTCCATGGTATACTTGCTTGCTTGTTCATTTGGATACAGAACTAATATGAGATAGGTGTCTGGGAAAATGGTGGAGAGAAGTGATCTCTGATGCATAAAAATACTGAGAACTTGTAAATTGTTTGATTTTAGGCAATAAATTTTCTTGTTTCAGACTGGCATTGCTCGGGTACCACTTGCTGGAGCTGCTGGAGGCCCTGGGGTTGGTAGGGCAGCTGGTAGAGGAGTACCAGCTGGTGTGCCGATTCCCCAGGCCCCTGCTGGATTGGCAGGCCCTGTCCGAGGAGTTGGGGGACCATCCCAGCAGGTGAGGAACCAGCAGAGGGTTTTATATTATTGGGAGAATGTGACTAAGCCAGAGGTCGAGGAGATTTAAAAACCTGAGTGTACATGTCATACTATGTAAAGGGCATATGGTCTAGGAGGAACCAACGGACAGATATACAGGAGGAAGGGAATAAAACTAGCTACTTAAAATGGTCATTGGGTGATTAAAATTACCTGAGTTACTCTTGGTAAGAATAACTTGCCACTAGTGGTGAGTGAACAGAATGCATGGATATACCTCAGTTGAAAAGATCAAAGGACTTTGTGGATGTCAGTGTACTAAGATTAGTTTTTAAAATACGGGAATAGGCCAGGTGCGGTGGCTTATGCCTGTAGTCCAGCACTTTGGGAGGCCAAAGTGGGCAGATCACTTGAGGTCAGGAGTTGGAGACCAGCCTGGCCCACATGGTGAAAACCCCATCTCTACTAAAAATACAAAAAACTGCTGGGCCTGGTTGGGGGTACCTGTAATCCCAGCTACCCAGCAGGCTGAGACAGGAGAATCGCTTGAACCCGGGAGTGGGAGGCTGCAGTGAGCTGAGATTGCACCATTGCGTTGCAGCCTGGGTGACAAGAGTGAAACTGTCTCAAAAAAAACACCATGGGAATAATGAGAGAGGTACAACATTGCAACAGTTGTTTGTATCTAATTGGTCATTTTTCTCATTTATTTTCTGTGTTTGAATAACATGAAGGTGTGTATCACTTTGTTTGTTTCTCGCCTTACCTTCTCAGGTAATGACTCCACAGGGAAGAGGCACTGTAGCAGCTGCTGCCGTTGCTGCCACTGCCAGCATTGCTGGAGCCCCAACACAGTACCCACCAGGACGGGGGACTCCGCCCCCACCTGTTGGCAGAGCAACCCCACCTCCAGGTAAGGGACTGGTGAACATTAAGACGAATTTGAATCTCTGACGAGAGAGAGCTTACTGATTTAAGACACAGCCTGAGAGCCTAACTCAGAATCTGGGGCATATGCTTCCTCCCTCTTCTAGGTACTGGTGTTTAGTGAAAGACGTAGAAGAGTAATTGTCATTTAGAAATCATTTGACTCTTATCACTGTTGTCTGGCCCATTTCTTTAGGGATTATTTGGGCTAAATTCTAACAGCTTTTCTAAGCCGGTTTATGAGGCCTTTATTTCTACCATTTTTCATCGCAGGCATTATGGCTCCTCCACCTGGTATGAGACCACCCATGGGCCCACCAATTGGGCTTCCCCCTGCTCGAGGGACGCCAATAGGCATGCCCCCTCCGGGAATGAGACCCCCTCCGCCAGGAATTAGAGGTGAGTGGGAGCATAGGGGCTTGATGGTTCAGCCAGGCCCCTGAATATGTGTATCCTCTTTTTCTCAATGTTTCTATTTCCTTTCCAGGTCCACCTCCCCCAGGAATGCGTCCACCAAGACCCTAGCATACTGTTGATCCATCTCAGTCACTTTTCCCCCTGCAATGCGTCTTGTGAAATTGTGTAGAGTGTTTGTGAGCTTTTTGTCCCCTCATTCTGCATTAATAATAGCTAATAATAAATGCATAGAGCAATTAAACTGTGAGGTACTGTTGTATATATTTTTTTGCCTGTTGATTTTGATGAGATCTTAAGTTACTGTGGATGAGGTGATGCCTATTAAGCAGTAGATTCAAATCATATTCTCTTTCATTCTTAGGATAAAAAGGTTTTCTGCTTTCTAACTTTCACTTTGTGCATTGACTGGTGTTAGTTAATAGTGTTTTCATGACCCAGGGGGTTTTAAGTGGTTGTGCTGCTTCCCACGTGGCCTCCTGCTTCTCCTGTTACTAAGTCATGTTATCTGAAGGGAAGTGGGGATGGGATGAAAGCCCTTGTAAGGCCACCTGTATATTGAAGGAAATTGTAATGAATCACGATCATGCTCGTTACGTATCAAGGCTTTTGAAATAGAAGTTACTCTTTTTCTTGGGATGTTGACCTCAGTTGATCAGGTTTTACAGTGCCCTATGATCACAATAGAGGATGTGATACTGGAATAATCATTTTCTACCATTGAGTAAGTATTTATTTATAAATTACTAAATGAGTGGAAGGTCCTGGGTGCTGGGAGGCAGGAGGTTGCATATTTGAGCGAGTAAGTTGGATCACTGATAATAGAGATAACTGACACACTAAACCATACTTGGTGCACTGAAATACAAATTACAGTTATGTTCAGTGGTGTCACTAAGTGACAAATTGGGAGTAAATAGTTCAGGAATTCCCGAGTCTCTAGGTCCAGTTCAAGTTGGTTACGGGACAAAGAAGCCATTCTTAAAAGGGAAGAGATTTTTAGGTTTTGCAGCTAAGGTTTATAGTAGGCAGCAAGGGAATGATTCATAGTGATTGTAACAGTTGATTACCAGGTACTATAGAGATTGGTGTTAGCTCCATGATAATACTGATAGACTGATTGGAGTTACGTTTTTTCTCTTGAATTTACCAGGAGTGGTTGTGAATGTCACCTTTTCCATCTTTTAAATCACATCCTTGCAGGTGGTAATTACTCAAGGAAAAGGAACTATCAGAGTAACAGCAGTTCCTGTTACTGACTTGATATGGTCTCTGCCTGAATAGCTTCTTGGATTAATGGCCACTGTCAGGTAAGGAAAATAAAGAGGCCAAGCCTAGTTGCTTTAGGAGTTACATAATACAGGTGCGACATCAGTGTTCTCAGAATTTGTAAATGTTAAACTTCTTGATTTACCAAAGCCACAACCAAAGTACTTTATCTGGATCTTTGAAGACAGAGCTCCTCAGTTCACACAAATTGACTGATGAAAAGACAAACACTTTTCCTCTACAAACTGTGGGGTAGTATGTAGAGCAACCTGTGATTTCTTCCCCTACTGCTCTGGAGTTACTTCTAATTATACTTTTTTGTTTGTTTTTGGAGGGGAAGCATTTCTCCTTGCATTGGTTTGCTGGTGTGGATGGCCCTTAGATTTTGGCATGAGTGATTATGCAGCATATTTGAAGAAAACCTGTTTTCAGGACCTTTTTAATTAAATATGGCCTGTTGCATGAGTTAAAGGTAAGTTATAAGAACTCTAGATTCCACAAGATGCTTGCTTCTTGTAGTTAATTTGCTTGGTGATAATACAGTTTCTTTTGAGAATCCTGATTGTGATGATATAATAGAAGAAAACTTGGGATATAGATAGTATAATTGAGTATGGTGAATCTTTTGTTATGGAATGCTAGTCTAAGCTTCTGCGTGTTTCCACTAGGGACACACATCAACATACCCGTCTTAAAACATTCTTGGTAGTTAATCCTTGGTGTTACTTAAAAATCATCCTACACATTCTTGCATTAAAATACATACATGTGGCTGGGCGTGGTGGCTGACGCCTGTAATCCCAGCACTTTGGGAGGCCAAGGCGGGCGGATCACGAGGTCAGGAGATCAAGACCATCCTGGCTAACACAGTTAAACCCCATCTCTACTAAAAAATACAAAAAATTAGCTGGCGTGGTGGTGGGCACCTGTAGTCCCAGCTACTCGGGAGGCTGAGGCAGGAGAATGGTGTGAACGTGGGAGGTGGAGCTTGCAGTGAGCCAAGATAGAGCCGCTGCACTCCAGCCTGGAGCGTGGAGCCTGGAGCACCGCTGCACTCCAGCCTCTGCACTCCAGAGCAGAGTGAGACTCGGTCTCAAAAACAAACGAACGACAAAAACAACAACAAAATATATATATACACACACACACACATTTCTCATCCAAAACATGGTTGGCCAACAACTTTCTGATTTCCTGATACACATTTCATTAAGTGACTCCATAAATATATTCATGTTGCACATCATGTTTGACATATGCTTTCATTGTAGGTTATAGAATAATTTCAAATAGAATTTTGGGATAAAAATTTTGCTACCTTAAAATAGGTAATGAAGTATTTGAGGTATTCTCTTTTTATATGATAGGTAATCTTGGCTTGGAATTAAAAAGATTCTGAAAGTTGCTTAGGGAGCTCCCTGCTTTCGTGAACTCATTCCTTAATTATGATGTCAAATTTCAGAAGTTTGTTATTAACATACGGTATTTTGCTTTTTATAGGTTCTTGTAATAGACTATTAAAAGTGGAAGTTGATTTACATTGATATGTGAAATAGTGTTGCTTGACTAGGATTTTCATGATCTCATTTCAAAGCTTAGCAGAAACACCCTTTACCTGATATGTTTACCTCTGATACTACCTTCACTGATTTCAGCAGGTAGTCAGTTATAATCCATGGGTTGAAGTTTTTATTTATTTATTTATTTATTTTATTTTATTTTTTGAGACAGAGTCTCGCTCTCTTGTGCAAGCTGGAGTACAGTGGTTGGTGTGATCTTGGCTCACTGCAGCCTCCGCCTTCTGGTCTGAAGCTATTCTCCTGCCTCAGCCTCCTGAGTAGCTGGGATTACAAGTGTGGGCCACCACACCTGGCGACATTTTGTATTTTTGGTAGAGACAGTTTCACCATGTTGGCTAGGTTGGTCTCAAACTCTTGACCTCAGGTGATCTGCCTGACTCAGCTTCCCAAAGTCCTGGGATTACGGGCGTGAGCCCCTGTGCCCGGCCATGGGTTGAAGTTTTTAAATGCGTGTTTTCTGGTCGATAATACATTGCTTGATTCTGTCTTATATTTGCATTTCAATTCTCTTCATCTTGTCCATACACGTAATAATGCTTAGTACATGAATTTTATGTAATAAAGCAAGGTATATTTTCATGGGACTTTTGTAGTGGGAGAATGACATCTGAGCCTGAAATAAGATATTTGTGTTGTAACTTTTTCAGCGTCATGTGATACCATTTTTTGACCACTTAGTTGATGCCTCTGAAAGGAAGAGAGAATCTGATCGCTAAAATTTGATGTGTCGTCAGTGTGGATCCTACTCAGTAGTGTCACAACGAGGCTGAAAATAATAATAAGTGCTTTTAACACAGAAACGTAAACTGCTCAGGTAAAATAACCTTGTAAAGAAAAATAAGAATATATTGCGGAGGCCTTGGCTAGGTTCATGATGACACAGGACCTTGTCTGAACATAATGATTTCAAAATTTGAGCTTAAAAATGACACTCTGAAATCCAGTCAGTGTGCCTCATTAGACTTTTCGATTTCAAGATTTTCTGCAGAAAGTGTTGTGAAAACTTTGAATACTTAAAAATGACAGATGTAGTATTGCACTTTGCTAGTTGCTCAGATACTGTTTTTTATTTGTATAGATATTCTGAGTTCCTTTTTTTTCCTACATGTTGTACGTTGTTGAAAGCTAAAAGGAAACTTACCCTTGGACCACAGAAGGCACAGGCACTTGTTGAGATGGAAACAAGGATGTGTGAAAATGAGACTGCCACCTCTCGGATAAAAAAAAAAAAGCGCCAGAGTTCTAGGGTTCTAAGTGATGTCCAGGAAAGAGGAGGAATTATATTTATGGAGCATATATTGTGGAACACAGTGAGTATAGTACATGCCTTTAAATGAATACTGTTGGTATTTTAGAACAGTTGATTTTGTTTATGTGTTTTTTTCTTCAGCTGTGTGCAGTTGATCGACTTACACAGAGCCCATCACACAACAGATGTTGAAGAAATATTAAGTGAATGAATGAGGCAGCATTGCTAATTTTTGTAAAGTGAGACAGTATCTCACAGCCCAGGCTGGAGTTCAGTGGCATTAACATAAGTCACTGCAGCCTTGAACACCTGAGCTCAAACGATCCTTTCACCTTACCCTCCAGAGTAGCTGGGACTACAGTCACGTGTCAACATGCCTGGCTAATTTTAATTTTCTAATGTTTTTAGAGCTGGGATCTCACTATGTTGCTTAGGCTGTTCTTGAACTCCTGGCCTCATGCCATCCTCTTGCCTCAGCTGGTATTGTAGGTGTGAACCATTGTGCCAGGTACTAATTTTTTTCTTACGTTAGAAAACAAGTTTTTAGCTATTTCCTAGTTACTTCCTTATGACAGAATATCTCATCAGAATCTTGGCCCATATGATATCTGACTCCATACATTTACACCCATGAAGTAGTCAACCATTCCCAGATAGAGGTCATTTGAGTTATTTAGTGTTTACCAGCACTTGTTTAGTACCTTGCGATGATATTTACAGTGTATTTTTGGGTATGGTTTTGGGGTTATTTGGTGGTGGTGGTTAAAACGCCTGTAATCCCAGCACTTTGGGAGGTTGAGGCAGGTGGATCACCTGAGGTCAGGAGTTCGAGCCCAGTCTGGCCAACATGGCAAAACACTCTACTAAAAATACAAAAATTAGTCTGGCGTGGTGGCAGGTGCCTATAATCCCAGCTACTCCAGAGGCTAAGGCAGGAGAATTGCTTGAACCCAGGAGGCAGAGGTTGCAGTGAGCTGAGATCACGCCACTGGCACTCCAGCTTAGGTGACAGAGGTGAGACTCCATCTCAAGGAAAAAAAAGAATAGAAATCAGCAAGTGCTATTTGAGTTTACAGGAGTGAGAAGTCCTCTCTTGCATGGTGAGATGGGGAACACTTAATTCTATATAAATATTTGAGACCAGGTGTCATGGTTCAAGCCTGTAATCCCAGCATTTTGGGAGGCTGAGGTGGGCGGATCACCTGACATCAGGAGTTTGAGACCAGCCTGGCCAACAAAGCAATACCCTGTCTCAAAAATACAAAAAGTACCCGAGCTTGGTGGTGTGTGCTCATAATCCCAGCTACTCAGGAGGCTGAGGCAGGAGAATCACTTGAACTCAGGTGGCAGAGGTTGCAGTGAGCCAAGCCCGTGCCACTGCACTCCAGCCTGGGTGACAGAGTGAGACTCCGTCTGAGAAAAAAAAAATATCAAGTTCAAAGGATGTATTTATTAAGCCAATAGAAAGTAAAGAGGTGGGGAATAGTGTAGAAGTATATGTTGATAAAGGGATGAGGTGGTTGTACAATCGAAAGGGGGTTGCAGACATGGAGAAACAGTTCTTCTAGCTCTTCCACGTTCAGCGTCATCTATGTGAGTCATTGGAATCCTTTTTTACAAGGCCTGCTTGCCCGTGAGTTTTAAGAACTAATGCTGCATAGAAATTATTGGTAGGAAAAGCTTGGCTGGGTCAATTTGCTTTGCTGAGCTGATTCAACTTACAAAGCAAGGTCCACACTGAGTGCCCAAGGTTCAAGAAGGAGTCTCATGTTTGAACTTGACGTTTAGTTCATGTGAATCATTTTCTGTTGAACTATGAGAATACAGTGACCTTGAGAGTTAGGTTGTACATCTGAATTTTTTGGACTGTTTCTCATCTTTTGGATGTCTTGTTTGTATAGATGTGTTCATTTTATGTTATATCATTTGTTCTTCGGTAGCAAACATTGAGTTGAAATGATACAGTTCCTGAAATCTAATGATTTCATGTTTAGGAAATATGTATCAGGAATACTGTGGGTTGTCATGAGAAAATTTAGATTGTGTTGCTGTGCTACTTGGGTTTCTTGTCAGAGAAGTTATAGTTAGTTTAGACCTCCTTCAGAATCCTTTCGTTGGACTTTGTATTTCGTATGTTGTGCCAGCCTTGATTTTATTTGTCTTTCTATACCATTTGTTTACACTTAACTCTGAAATATTTTGATGCATATTTTCAGTGTACTCTAGTCCTAAAATTGGTTTACATTTAATTATTGGGGAGAATAGCAAGTTGTTGATAGTTATTTGTGGTGGCATTAGGATATTTCCGTTTCAGTGCTTTGGACAATTTGTTAGTGGAAATAATTACTATATTTAGCTTTATGAGACCCTACTGGCAGATTGCTCTGTGTGTGTGTGTGTGTGTGTGTGTGTGTGTGTCCTTCATGTAGATTGCTCTGTGTGTGTGTTTCCTTCATGTAGATTGCTGTGTGTGTCTTTTCTTCATAATTCCCCTTATTTCTGTGGGCTTTGAATGATACTGTTGTTGTTACTGTTGTTTTATATCCATTGTCACATAAAACTCTTATTTATTCTTCCAGGCCAGGGACTGTCCTTATGGGTAGAGATATACTGTCTGCAGGGATTTTTTTTTTTTTTTTTACATATTTTTACTAGTTGATAGGAAAGACGTTGGGAAAGACCTGGGCTGGATTTGTGATGAGCTGTGTTTACTGAGCATGATGAAGTAAAGCTCAATGTGATTACTCTGAAGTCCAGCCTTAGTATCAGTCTAAGGACTCAGGACACAAATACTCAAAACATAAATTCTTAGACTCTAAATTTCACATGTTGTTTCCTATCAGTACAGGTTAAGGAGAGTGGCGTGTCATAGGTTTTTCCATTGCAATAGAGGGAAGTTGGTTCTAGATCCTTTAGTACAGTTAATCTTTTGTAGAGTGCGTTCTATGTTCACTGCATTGGTATGTCTCATCTTTGGCGTGATCTTGGCTCACTGCAACCTCTGCCTCTTGCGTTCAGGCACTTCTTGTTTCAGCTTCCAGAGTAGCTGCGATTACAAGCATGTGCCAACATGCCCAGCTAATTTTTGTATGTTTTTGTGGAGACAGGCTTTGCCATGTTTGCCAGGCTGGTCTCTAAGTGATCCACCCACCCGCCTCAGCCTCCCAAAGTGCTGGGATTGCATGCGCAAGCCATGCATGCAGCCACACCTTTGCTGATTTCTACTATGCATTTCAAGTGATCACTTCAAGAGAATAAGTACCTGGGAGCTCCTGTGCTCTTTTTTTTTTTCTTTTTTTTAACCCTATTGCTTGCGTCACCTGGTTCCAAACTTGTACAAGTTTCATGAGTATGTTTCTGTCACTGAGGCAGCTTCTCCATTTAGCATATCATTGAGAAATTGCTAGTTTGTGGCTGAGACATTGCTTTGGTTTGAGAGGACACTTAATTTATATATTTAGCAGAATGCTTAAGTTACATTTACAGGGATTAATTTAATTCTACTTTTAATTAAGTTGACCATTTGCTGTATCTTTACAAGACATAGATGGAGATTTAGTTTTGACTCTTAGATTCAGTTAAGGGGATGAAATTGGCATTATATAGTTTTTGATGCTGAGCCCCACGGAGATTAAATGATTGCTAAATACCATGCCATTTTTGAATCACATCTCTAATTTCACATTATTCTATACTCTACTTTTGCTTGTATGATTGATGGGTCTTTTGTTATCTGTGATGGACATTCTATGAGCAGGTGCTTTTGTTTTGCCTGTAATATTATGAAGGAAGAATGGTGAATAAAAAGGTAATTTAGAGAAGCCTGTATTAAACATAGCATGAACATTGAATATAGCAAGATCTTATTCTCTAGCTTTTTTCTTAGTTGATAAATTCTGTATGTGTTGTGTGTGTACATATGTACATATTAATGGCGTCAGTGTTGATGCTGTCGTTTGTCACATGACACATGACTAGTTTATAGTAAAAGCTGTTGGGGTTCAGAGAAATGAACATTCTTTTGAAAGTGAGATAAGTTATTTTCTAGTTCTTGCCTTTGAATCTCTGGTCTTCTGGTAGAAATGTTAGTGTATTTATAACCTCTCAGATTTGTTTGGTTCTGTTAGTGTTCCTGATCCAGGCAGTTAGGGATATGTTGGTTGAATTGAGAAAAATGAGTTTTTCCCTTCCTACTAACTGAATTAGATTAGAAATAAGCAGTTAAGTGAGAAAAATAGGGAATTAGTGCCAGGTCTGTTGAGGTATAGTGTTGACAGTGGTCTTTTGCCTTTAGATGTTTGCTGCAACCTGGAGAATGCAGTGGTAGTTGCTGGCCTAGCCCATCCAAACAACCTCATTTGTGGGGTGATACTTCACAGATGTCTTAAAATAAATCTCCTGAAAATAATCTCTGGAAGAGATGACGTGTGTGTGTGTGTGTGTGTGTGTGTGTGTGTGTGTTGGTATAGTAGTAGGAGGAGGGTTGGCTTACTGATGAGAATCATTATTTCTTAAATTGGATGACACTTTCCATTCCTGCAAAGAGAGCCTGGGGTCCAGCCATGCTAATTCATAATCAAAGTAATTTGCTGAGAGTAGTGGAAGGAATGAGTTAGCAATAGATGGCAAATCGCATTAATGAGTACTAGGAGAAAAACAAATGAGCAAACAATTTTTTTTTTTTTTTGAGATGGAGTCCCACTGTGTCACCCAGGCTGGAGTGCAGTGGCGCAGTCTCGGCTCACTGTAACCTCCGACTCCCAAGTTCAAGCAATTCTCTTGCCTCGGCCTTCCGAGTAGCTGGGATTACAGGCGATCGCCACCACGCCTGGCTAGTTTTTTGTTTGTTTGTTTTTAATTAATAGAGACAGTGTTTCACTACGTTGGCCAGGCTGGTCTTGGAACTCCTGACCTCAGGTGATCTGCCTGCCTCGGCCTCACAAAGTGCTGGGATTACAGGCGTGAGCCACCGCGCCCAGCCAGTAAGCAAATTTTAATG